GGTCTCAAGACAACTTCGGAATCTCCTGCAACACTTCTGAACGGTCTTCTTGTTTAGGTTTGTGGTTGCTTCCATAAGCCTTGCCTTTATTTCATCTTTCTTGTAACAAGAGGTTTTGTTGGTCTCCCGCTCAATTGCGCTCCACAGATAATAATCAATTGGATTGCAGTCTGGAGAGTTAGGTGGCCAGATGTAAGGGGTGATGTGGTTACAGAAATTGTCTGACAGCAATAACTGAGTTCTCTTGTTTGTGTGGCATGGTGCACAGTCCTGTTGTCAGACAGCGGGATTTCCTTCAGCCACCGTCTTGACCCAGGGTAGCACTACACCCCTCAAGGTACTTGATGTAGGCCTTCATTTTGAGTCTGATGACCTATGGAAAGATGAATGGAGACATAACGTTGCCATATCTAGTGATCACTCCAAACATCATGATGTCGATATATCTTCCAACTCTTTCCGAACCATCTGTACTGACACCCAAACATTCTGAAATGTTTGCATTAGAGCTTGCGGCACGAATGCCAAACAACACTACATGCCGTTTTCTGGCGGAGTGAATTGCATCATAATATCCAACTGACCCTACTATACTATGCAGTCGACAAAATAAAAAATAAACAACGCGCATGCGTGAAATAAAAAGCATAATTTGGCGTCAATTTAACCTTTACATTTTATATTGTCTAATATTTAGTTAATCATATTTCAGCTGATTTTATTATTAATACTTAGGTTGTTATTCTACGACAGTTATGTAAGCAGATGTAATCAGAAGTGAAGAATGTGACATTTAAACATTCAGGCTTTTCATTCTTCTTTTTTAACGTGCCATGACGCAAATGTTTTGTAGGCGTTGTTCAAATAAATTAGAAAGTTTTATTTTTTCTTTTTCCAATCTCCAATACGAGGTTATCGTGTTTCTTTCATTACAGGAATAGTATTTGATGGAATAACCTTAGAATTTCTTACAAAAGGCATTTTCTAATGATAATATATATAATCTCTTTTTAGGTTATGTTGATTTTCAGTTAATATTGATATTATGATTACTATATTTTTCACCATATTCAACTTGATTTTTATAAACAACAGAAATATAAAGAAAGCAATACTAGTTAAAATATGAATATTAACTATTAAAGCTTTGGATTAATGGATGCCGGCTAGTATTGAAAAATTGGGGACCCGAGTTCGAATTCCAGTTGAGTTTATTGCATTCACTAACGTGTTAATACCCTTCGGAAAGGGATGAATCTATCTGTTCTCGACAGCTATTTGTAAGTAGCAGTGCAGAGTGACCCCAAGGGTCTTGGTTTGTAAACTGTTTGAGCAGGAAAATTCTGAATTCAAATAACCTTGTAGGTTTTGCCTCTTTTGACAGGAGGGGCAGGGTAACTTCAAGATCCCTGATGCAAAAGGAACCGGCAAACCATTGACGTATTCTTCCTTGAACGTCACCCTCTAACTATAATTGTGAGATGGAGGGGAGTGTTGACCAGAGCAGCGGTGAAAAATGCGTTGAATAAACAATGATGATGTTGATGATGATGTTGATGAAGGCTTCATCGAAAATGGTTTAATTTTTTGTTGACTTATTTAATGGCATGATTTTGGCGATAAAATATAAAAGGTTTTAAAGAAATGCAGAATGAGGCAGAAATACCTCCAAGAAATACATCTCACATAATGGTAAGACATTAGTGCCAATGGTGACTTCATCGAGCTAATGTTGTGACATTATGTGGGTGCTATTTCTGGGCGGTGTATGTGGGAGGTATTTTTGTCCCATTCTATATTTATAATGATGACAATATCTCAGCTAAGAAATTCGAGGGCTTCTTGCGCTAGTTTTCGAATAACAAAAACAGATGTTATTAATTTTTATAACAAATTTCTCATGAGACATTAATAATAAAATCTACGCTTAGGCAAGCCTAAATATACAGATAGATAGATAAATATTTTTTCCTAAATCAAACATTACTTCTCAATGATATAAAGGTGGGTATACGTAGTCGAGTAGGCATCTCTATAATTCTGTAAATAAAAACTTGTTCAAACAGACTTACCCACAAAATATATCCTGCTCAGGAAATTATACTGTCATGAGTCTTTTCCGAAAGTAAATGGCTCTTGGGAAGAAGATGTCCAAATATAACTTCCTACTTACCAATGGTATACGAAGCGAGTGAGGATAATTCGCGCCTGTTTATAGGCTAGAAGATGCACCCCTGATAAAACGAAGACGCATGCGCTTCATGTATGATGGGCTCCAGCATATTTTAGTCACATTGTTGTGCTCTGACTGGCATCTACCATGAAAGATGGATGGGGAGAACCGGTTCCAGGCCCTTCATGTTTCTTCTGCCTAAATCCTTTAGATTATTTTATCTGTTTGCCCACCTTAAACAATTGGTTTAGGCAGCAGATATTAATAACACAGAGAGGCTTTATCAACGTGTTTGGGAAACCATTCGTCACCGGGTGGAAATATTTTAAAGTATCCGCGAGTAAATGGTCCGATGAATGCATACGTGTGTAGAAGCAACCAGGGGACATTTCCAACATTGTTATAAGTTGCTACACGAGTTCACACACACACACACACACACACACACACACACACACACACACATATATATATATATATACATATATATGTGTGTGTGTGAAATGAACAATTACTTTAAGACATGTTTAGACGCTCTTTTTACAGATACAAATATTTAAGTATTATAAACATATATTATTATAAACAGAGCATTTACTTAAATATTTGTATGTATAAAAAGAACGTATAAACATAACAAATGTTTATATATATATATATATATATATATATATATATATATATATATATATATATATTATGAGTTTAATTTGTTTGAGAATCCGACGGAATGTTAAATGTAATATACCTACATGCTCTGCTTCAAATGTAGTTTTGTAAGAATTGATCATTGTAGAAAATTTGTGTTGAAACAATGCAGGATGCAAAAAATGTTTAAATACATGAACATATCAATAAAAATAAAACAATTTTTTTAAAAATTCGAAATTCGAAAATGCAATTTTAAAAAATATTGCTCTAAAGTAAATAATAAGTGATAAATAAATAAAATAACTGAATAAATAAATAAATAAATTATTTATATTCTATTTATCTATCTATCTATCTCTCTCTCTCTCTATATATATATATATATATATATATATATATATATATATAAAAAAAAAAAACAGACCACTTTAAGGTACCATTAAAAGAATTAATGGATTTATTTTAATCTGACATTTTTTATAAAGTTTGAAGAAATATATATACATATATGTGTATGTGTGTGTGCGTGGGTGTGCGTTTATATGTGTGCGTGTAAGTGTCTGTTAGTGTATTGGGGTATTCGTAATAATTATAGTTGCCATGAAACTTTTCGGTGTGTATTTTTAAGATTTTTTTTTTTTTTTTGTCACAGACTTGATTCGTCTCCTTTATCTTCCTGTTGCTCTCCATTCAATCATGAAGTGATAATTTCAGTAAAGACTTACGATGTTATTAATTTTCACGTCAAAATCTTTTACAGAGACGGATTCAACGACGTGTTAAACCTATTAGCTATGGAAATTAAATTTAGAATACAACAGTATGTAAGATATGATTCTTTCAGAAAACTTTCTTTATCCTCAATGTTTTTTTTACATTCAGGTTTTTACAACTACTATTTGACATTAGGTGCAGTCGAATTTAGGCTTTTTAATAAATAAAAAGAAATAATTTTTCAGCTTTTTAATTGTGTGTCTATTTTTCTGTCGCATAAATAATTCCATAATTGAGAATTCTAGCCAGATTAAGGGGTTAGAAAGATGGGTATTACCCACGAGAAATAATTGTTATTCAAGCCGCGTTAAAAAAAAATCGAAGATTATAAATACCAATTTTTTAAATTTAGTTATCCCCCCCACCACATTGTCCCTACAATTGATAAATATCTATGTGGAAAGACACGTATAGACACACGAGTGCATACACACACACGCGCGCACACACACATATATACATACATAGACGGGCCACAAATAGCACAATATACAAGATACACAAGATACTTGTAGTTACTGTATAGATTTCTTTATAATAATAAAATACATTGTATATATATATGTAAGAGGAATGAATATATAAACACATACTGGCAAAAATAAAAACAAACACACTAGACGGACTACAAACGCACACAAACGAACCCTACGCACCATACAAAGTGTGTATGTATATATATTATCTCCTTGTAATAAAACAATATATTTGTATGCAGAAAGAATATATATATATGCATACGAGCAAACACACACACAATACTCAAAAATGGAGAAAGATTTAAAAAGATAGAGGCGACATAAAACGATAAGAACAAAAACCTCATTACTTCCCTTTTTCTCTGAGCAATACTAATTGTTTTATTCCCCCTTAAGCAAAGGAATATTTTTCCAAAATATGAATTTTTAATTACTACCACACACAAAAGACAATGTGTAAACATAATAAAAAATTAATTCCTTTAATGAATATGTGTAAATAACCATTCTTCGCCTGATGAAGGTGACAAGACCCGAAACGTGTGCAGCAAAAATATGCTAAATAAAGTATAATAGATAAAAAAATCCCACGTTATATGTAAAAATGTTTACGGCTTCTCTTTTCTCTTTAAAACAGACACACACACATATATATATATGTATATGTACATATATAACAGACAAGTTAATGAAGATATGTTATATTATTTAATATTTTGTTGTAATGATTTCCTCTGTCCGTATATTTCGCAGGTGTTTCTACTCAGTTAACGTATGTAAACATTCAAATACACGACAGTAGATATTTGCTAAGCTTCTTTCGAATTTCTGCTATATTGACAGAGTTGTTTGGAAGCCCGTAGCTGATTCGTCTCGACACTAGACTTTATAAAGTGATACAAAGTATAGAAAGTATTGGAAAGCTATTTTGCACACTTCCTGAATAGATATAAGGTATAAAAGAAGAAGAAGAAGACGACGAAGAAGAAGAAGGAGATATAGAAGCCAAAGAAATAGATGAAGAGGAAGAAGAAGGTATAGAAGAATGCATAGAGGAAGGAGAAGGTATAGAAGAATGCATAGAGGAAGAAGGAATAGAAGAAGAAATAGATGAATGCATAGAAAAAGTAGAAGAAAAAGGAGTTATAGACGAAAGCATAGAAAAAGAAAAAAGAAGACATGGAAGAAGAAGAGAAAATTAAAGGCATAGAAGAAGAAGAAGAAGAAGAAGAAGAAGAAGAAGAAGAAGAAGAAGAAGAAGAAAAGGCATAGAACAAGGCATAGAAGAAGAATGTATAGAAGAAGGCAAAGAAGAAGAAGGTATAGAATAAAGAAGAAGAAGAAGAAGAAAAAGAAGAAGAAGGAATAGAAGAAGAAGGTATAGAAGAAGGCAAATAATAATAAGAAGAAGTAGGTATAGAAGAAGGCACAGAAGAAGAAGAAGAAGAAGAAGAAAAAGGAATAGACGAAGAAGATATAGAAGAAGGCAAAGAAGATGAAGAAGGCATAGAAAAAATAAGTATAGAAGAAGGAATAGAAGAATAAGAAGGAGGAGGAGGAGAAGTTATAGAAGCAAACACAGAAAAGAAAGAAGACAAAGAAGAAGAAGTAGAAGAAGGCATAGAAGAAGAAAAAGAAAATAAAAGGCATAGAAGAAGGCATTTAAGAAGAAAAAGAAGGCATAGAAGAAGAAAAGGCATACAAGAAGAAGAAGAAGAAGAAGAAGAAGAAGAAGAAAAAGGAATAGACGAAGAAGATATAGAAGAAGGCAAAGAAGATGAAGAAGGAATAGAAGAATAAGAAGGAGGAGGAGGAGAAGTTATAGAAGCAAACACAGAAAAGAAAGAAGACAAAGAAGAAGAAGTAGAAGGCGGCATAAAAGAAGAAAAAGAAAATAAAAGGCATAGAAGAAGGCATTCAAGAAGAAAAAGAAGACATAGAAGAAGAAAAGGCATACAAGAAGAAGAAGAAGAAGAAGAAGAAGAAGAAGAAGAAGAAGAAGAAAAAGAAGAAGAAATAGAAGATGTGTTTTTTTTTAAAATAACTAGAGCAATAATTAAAATAATCGCTAGTAAACTATTTCTCGTGCACTTAGTCTCACTTAGTTTCATCTACAGGAGCTCATTAATGTCGTTTTTTTTTTTTCGCTTAATATTACTTCTAACCTAAATTTAATACACCTACTTGAGCGGTCTTGATACAATTAACGTTTTGTGGCAGTACTAGTTTGGAAATCGAATATTTGGGGCGTATATATCATGGTAGAAAATTACTGACACGTGGGGAAAACACAGCTACTCATAACTTAACATGATGGTTTAATGAGTAACCAGAACCGTTTATTACATTCCCTAATTTTCCTTTTTAATGTAGGGGGGGGAGGTGTATAAGTCAGTTCCGCACGTTATAACACTTTTAATAAAATAGAATTTTTATTTCTGTTCTTCTGAATTCTATCCAGCAGGTTTTATATTTATTTATTTATTTATTTTAATGTAGAGATTTTCGAAGCGTAAGTTTAGATGTGGCACAAGGCCGAAAGTATGGGGCATCCAGTGAGAATCGAACTCAATTTTCAGTAGTAACTGATCTAGAAAGACAAGCTTGCTAACCATTACACCATGACGAGGAGCCCTAGTGATTTTCCAAGCGTAGCTTAGATGTGGCACAAGGCCGAAATTAGGGCGCACCCAGTGAGGATCGAACTCGCTACTCAGTCGTAATTGGTCTAGCGAGCCAAGCTTGCTAACCATTACACCGCCTCGAGTTGCCCTTGGTTTTCTAAGCGAGGCTTAGATGCGGCACATTGCCGAAATTATGGGGCACCCAGTGAGTATCGAACTCCCTATTCAGTTGTAACATTTTTAGCAAGACCAGCTTGCTAACCATTACACCACGCCGAGACGCCCAATTTATTTTAATGTATGGCTGAATGTTTATACGAAAGTTAGACATCTAAAGCTGAATTATAAGTAATTCCTGTTTACGGAATTATATGTAATGAAGAATGTATCATCCCAACTACTAATCATACCCGGCAGTTAAGAATTAATTTTAGTACACACCTTAGTTGTTGAAGAGCAATGGCAGCCTCCACAGTGGATTAAAGGAATAATAGTGTTTCATCCATGAAAACGCAAGGCAACTAATTTGCAAGAATAACACTAATTTGGGGACTCGATCTATTCTATCCTTCTCGTCATATTCATTTGACCTTGCAACAACCGATCATTACCTATCTGAGTTGTTCTAAAATGTGTTGATTGGAGGCAAACTTTCTCCAATGAAAAGCAGATAGAAGAGTTCGTCGAAACGGTTTCCCCATCAAAATCAGCGGATATTTTCACCATAATGTTTAAAAGAGCAACATCCCACTGAAGGTGATCGTTAATATATATTTGATTGAAAATATTGTTGTACTAACACAATTTGACTAACACAAACAGGAAGTATTTCTGATTCAATGTTATATGTTCGCCATGGCCAACATCGTCACGTTGCTGATTCACCTTAATACGAAACTAAAAACACTAACCTGCGTAACGTGGCTGGCAAATGTATCTTCCTGAAATACTTGATAAAGTAATTCATTGATACGTTAACAGTTGCCATAAAAGATTGGGGGTTTTGCTGGGATTCATATAAAATTATTAAGTATCTCTATGTGCGTTGTGGTGCGATGAATATCGGCACAGAAGGAGAAATCTGAAAGCTAAGTTCGAATTCCAATCGAGTTTGTTGCATTCACTTACACACAGTCTTGGAAAAGATACGAATCCACCTATATCCAAACATGGAGAGAATTGCAGGACACACTGTTTTCTTTAACCTTTGTCGCCGACCAGTCTTCATCACAAAGAAATAACAATCTATCGCAGGAAAATCGGTTATATATCGAAAGAGACATGATCGTCCAAGCGTGTATCACGAGCTGATTGAAATATCTTCAGGTTGCGATGAGTAAATTGTCGCCATTTTATATTTTTAATTTCGCGCATGCGCGTTGTTTGTTTTTGATTTGTCGACTGCACAGTATAGTAGGGTTAGATTTCACTGTAAAAAAAAACAAAAAATAAAAAACAGCAACATGGCGTCTGTGAGAAAAGCAGCAACATGACGCAATTCATTCTGCTAGAAATTTGGAAACGGCACGCTGTACTTGGCATTGGCGTCGAAATCTCCGATACGAAAATTTCAGTGTGATTGGGTGTCAATATGAGGACATTGCAATGGATTCGGAAAGAGTTGGATGAATCTAATTGTGATTACGAAGATACGGCAGCTCGGAAAATCACTGTGATCGTTCTGATAAGAAAAAAACTCCCGAATTTGTTGGTGAGGGTCTCAGACTCAACACGGAGTCCTACATCACGCGCCTTGATGAGGTAATGCTGCTCTGTGCCAAGAGAGTGGCTGCTGGGAGACCCTATATCTGGCAAAAGGACAAAGCAGGAAGACCTGGTCATGGCTGACAAACAATTTCTGAAACTGCATCACTCCTTACATCTGACCATCTAACTCCCCAGACTGCAATCCCCTTGATTATTATGTGTGGGGCGCAGTTGTGCAAGAGACCAACAAAACATTTTGTAACACGAACAATGAAAGAAAGGCAAGGATTATGGCAGTATTCACCAACTGAAACAAGGAGACCGTCCAGAAGAGTTGCAGGAGATTCCGAAGTCGTCTGGAGGCTGTGATTGGAGCAAATGACAGTTTTATTAAATGATTTTACTCTTTAATATTTCAAGATATTTTTGTGTAATTTTGGTAAATATATCTGTGAAATGAGATGTCAGTGTTATTTTCCTTTTTGCGTAACTTAGACGTCAATTTATCCATCGCAACCTGTATATACAAGGGTCTTCAATAATTACTAGTAAAACATCATTCTACAGTACGCACCAAAAGTAAAGAGGCTGTATTTTCATTTTCTTTTTCAATGAGACGTGTTTCTCTTTTAATTTCTAAATGCTTTTGCAAGTTTTTGTATGGTGCTGCTCCGTATTCAGGTCTCTCATCAAGATTTGTCTACGGACTTCGTTAACGCTACATGTTTACCTATTTCGTTGTGAGATAATAATTCATTATATTCTGACCCTCAGGAATACTTTTGAACGATAAGTAAAGTTTCCTAAATTTGTTGATGTAATGGAAAGATTAGCATTCATATTTTTTACCTTGCATCGGTAGGAAGTAAGTAATTAATTTTATAAGGCTTATCTCTCTCCATAAGTAGTTTATGTGTTCGTGTGTGTGTGTGTGTGTGTGTGCGTATGTTTAAGTGTATGCAGTTATGTACAGTGCTTAAAATGTGTTATATTTATGAGGAAAGAGTGCCGAATATCAAAGAGCGTTTAGCGATATCGACACTGCATGGTAACTGTCAGGTTTACGCCTCAGGCAAGAGATCATCAGAGTATGCAGTGTCGACTTCGATGTTCACGCCGTGCCCACAAGCGCACACACACACACACACATAAACAAATATATATATATATATATATATATATAGATAGATAGATAGATAGATAGATAGATAGATAGATAGATATTACCTCCAAAAAGTTTCTAAAAAACAGCACACCATGATGAAAAAAGTCCCGAACTTGATTAAATTTTATCGTCAAAAAGTTTATGCTATTATAAAGAGGCAAGACGAAAGTATTATTTAATTATTTTACTATTTTTTTTATTCCACTCTAGCACATTCTAAATTTTGGTTAAATATCTAGTTTTTCTTGCGTCAGTGGGTAGGGCAGAGGTTAATTAGAAATTTTAGCGTCTCGTTTGGCGTAAAAAACACATTGTTTGGGAAATTCATGCAAAAATCAATAAATTGTTGGAATTTAATACAAATTTTCAGAATATATTCGCAAATGCTTGAAATTATTTTTTTTTTACTTTGTTTTGAGAAATCCTTGATAAAAATATTTTTACATTCTTACTTAATTTTATGAAATTTCGAGAAATTATAATTTCACTCTCTTTATATTTATATTAATTAAAAGCAGGACCCATTGTAGAATTTAAATATCTTTCTTTTTTTTTTTCAAACAGAAACAACATTTACCGAAAATCTGCTGTGAATCGAGAAATAAAAATGCAATAAAACTACGATATTATTTAAATAGAAAAAACTTTTAATTGAGTTTATAAATAAGATATATTAAGGACATTATTGTCCTGAGCAATAAAAAAATGTTTCGATTAATAATGAATTTTTGAAAAAAAATCTATAGAGTCTAGGTCATCTCATCAGAACAATTACCATGAAAATATTTATGGAAAAAGCACACGGGAGCTATATAATGGACATGGAGCAGACATTTACTGGTATGAAAATGAACTAAAATTCATTCTTTTACCTCCTAGTGATATGGTTTTAGATCCTAAAACTCTAGTTAAGGAAAAGTTTTGCAAAACACTATAAGCCTATATGAATTCACATTTTAATGTAATGTTTGTATTCATTTTCTCAAAATCTACATATGCTAATCTTTATACAGATCTGTATATATATATATATATATATATATATATATATATATATATCGACTCTCCCGTCGAGATTCGACGTATGAGGGTCAAGCAGATCAGTTTCCATGAAACCAACAGCCCGACATTATATTGATTATAATGGTGAACGCTTCGTGCAGGACCATCTACACTTTTTGAAGGGACGAATACGGAGACCTGGTGCACCGAATGCCACAAGGTTCCCAAACGACCCTCCGCAGGTTTTGAATTCAGAGTTGTCCTTCTCTAGACCAGTTGCCATCCAGGCTATAGAACCCAGTCTGTACTGCTATTTTACTCATAGCTGGAGGGAGAGGAAGAGGATTCATACCTTTCCCAAGGGTATTATCACGTAAGTGAATGTAATGGATTCGACTGGAATTCGAACTCGGCTCTGCGATTCCGCTATCGATTATATATATATATATATATATATATATATATATATATATATATATATATATATATATATATATATATATATACGAGTGCTTATATGATTAACTTATATTTTTTAATGGTAAACAATAATGTGTTTATAACATGCTAAGCTTAAAATATACAGATTGACAGATTCCCAAGAAGATATTTT